GAGAGAGAGAGAGAAGAGAACAGATAAGTCTCCAACTTTGCGGCTGACCTCATGGTACTTCGATCGATAGGATGAGTTCCTTCTTGGTTGTTATTGCTCGCGGCCATAGCTACCCAGTGTGTGCAAACGAACTTGTTATATAAGGCTTTGTTTTCCCGAGCAGTTGTCCAGAGTTCTCATATCTCGAGCTGGTTTACAACTCGCATGTGATGAAGTGTGCTGTTGGTTTGTTGTGAGATGCTCTTCGAATCGCGGGCTTATTTCATGTGTGGAAAAGATATCGAAGTTTGAAGGATACCATGCTTGATCCCTCCCTTTTCCATGTCAGCGCGTGTGCTCATGGCACCACCGACCGTTTGTTGTTGCCAAGCTTGAAGGATGAAAAAGGTTGGATGATTACTGAGACTCAGTCAGGTGCCAGTGTCGCTGTCACAGTGATCTCTTTTCATAACTACCCTGTCAAAATACACAAAAAATTCTATTCATTTAGCCATTAAAATTGATTTGTTATGCTTATTCCCAGAAATACAAAATCATTTCGAAGTTTTTGAACAATGTATGACAGATTGGGTTCCGTTCCGTGGTGGTGTATTGGCATCGTATGCGTAATTTGGTCCACAGTTTTGAAAACACGTCAATCTCCGGAGAGCTGCCAACGCAGTGGAGTACTCTATGGCTGACGCAAGTCGTTGCATACAAGACTAAGTTGACGGGACCGCTTCCGAGCTCCTTAATTGGTTTACCGTCCCTTAAACGCGTTGAGCTGCAGGAGAATGAGATGTCCGGTCCTCTGCCATTGCTCCCAACACCGCAATTGCCAAGATTGTAAGTCTTCCTCCCCCTTGGGTTTGGCGCGTGCCCATCCGCCTGTCTAATACTTTTTTTTTTTTTTTTTTATAACAAAAACAGGTCCTTATGGGCCTGGCTCCTTTTCCATTCTGGGGAGCATCAGTCTGGTTCCTATTCCCCCGGCAAGTCAGAATAAAATATTACATCATGAAACACGCTCACACTTCCTTCCGTATGGCTGAAGGACCCCTGACCAGCATTGATTGCTCCCTTGAGGGAGGATTGACTGTCAGCTTGCCCTAACAACTTACTCCTCTCAGGTTCCCTTCTTGGGCCTGTCAAATAGACCTATTCAAAGCGAGAGAAACTTATAGGATCTGCCTCCAGCCAGAAATCTGAGTCTCCTTCCTCTCTAAAGTTCCCGCCTAATACCCTTGTTGCTCAGCATAGGACACTTTGTTGTCTGTATCAGGACTTACCGGTTGCACTTCTCAATTTCGCTTCCCGTGGGATCCTCAAGTGCTTTCTCCTTTCTTTTGCTTCTTCTTCAAGGTTCTTCTACCGGTGGCACATACCGAATTCAACGTATAGCTTGTGCCCCCCCAAAAGCCCAGAAGCCTCCCGTAGACCACCAGTACTGCTGAGCCTCTTTTTCCCAAGCCTCGAAACGCCCTGTGCGCCAAAAAAGAACCAACCAGTGTGGGCCTTCTTTCGGCTGGTGCCAGCAGTCATTTTGCTCCGGCAGCCAAACCCCGAAAGTTGAGGCATGCATGCAGCCTCGTCGGAGAAAAATGGCTGGGAAACGTACCGGTGGTTTAACCAATGCCGCCGCCGTCCTCGGTGGAATGTGCCGTTATGCAAGGGGTCTGTGGGCGTTATGCAAGCGGTCTGTGGGGCAGTACGGTAGCTGCGCAGGGGAGTCCTGCTGTGGCCATGAGAGAGCAAACAGCAGCCAGCGGCTGCCCTGATCGAATTGCTGATCACATGCGGCCGTAGGATCCTGGCAAAAACGGCGCTCTGCTCTTGTTGTCACGGCCTGAGGTTCGGCAACTCCGATTGCAGGGCAGCTCTCTCCAACACTGCTGGGGGTCAGTCTGGACACTGAAGGCAGATTCGGCAGATAAAAACTAGGTTCAGAGGCACAGGTGGTTTAAAGTTTAAACTTTAAGCCACTTGTATCCAGAAACATTGTTCTTATTACAAGGAGGCCACGGCCAAAGTCGACGGGACTGAAATGGCCTTTTGTTTTTGTTATTTCAAATGGCCTTTCGTTTTTGGTATTTCGCTCTGAAGTCTCTGATCAGTTTTGCAGGGTCTTGAGACTGACAAAAACTACGCCCATTTATTGGGATTCGTCACTCCTGGCGATTCAAGACCCTAATCTGTTGGTTGGTTCTCCAGCCTCATTGTCACAGAAATAGTGAATATTCTCTCGTTTCAGCAATAGAATTGTGGTCAACTTAAGATAGGATGGTTGCCGCCCCTTTTTCAATTCCTCAACACCATAATTTAGGTGCCTCATTTTCCTGGAAATGAGGCAAACCGAAAGCCGGAAAGTATTATTATAACACAAAACGCAGAAAGGACAGGAGGAGGAGGAGGAAGAGGAAGAGGAGGAAGAAGAAGAAGACGAACAAGAAGCAGCCATCGCTTCCATTTTATACCGCAAAGTGGCTGGATGCAATGAGGAGTTCAGAAAGCCAGGGAAATATGGAAGAACCATAGAAGTCAGGTGCAGCTTTTCTTTTTTCTTTTTCCTTTTTTCAGTAGAGCGTCTCTAGTTGTGATGAACCTGTTCTGAATGAGAGGCTTCCATCAACAGACAAACACACACACACACAGAGAGAGAGAGAGAGAGAGAGAG